GCTGGGGAAACTCATCCCAGAGGCTGGTGGTAAAGGCAAGTCAAATCATCAGGAACCGCATGAACGGAAAGGATTAGGTTATGTCCACCCCAAGCCAGTGCGAATATTCATAAACAGAGCCACAAGTAATTGCATCACTTCTACGGATGAGGAGGAAAGTGACAAGAAACAGTCTGTTTTTGATAGAATGGGAGATGTAGAATCACGACAATCAATTTTTCGTAGACCTGGGCCGAATCCCAAACCTGCTAAGAGAAAATCAGTACATGACTTTATTGGGCTTACTCAGAGTTCGAAAGAGCAGACCAACCCTCCTACTGAAATGGAACCCTAAAAAAGGCTCAGGAGTGCCGTTCTGTCTCGTATGAGAGGAGAAGTTGATATCCATGTCTCGTGTGGTGAATTTTTGAAGGTCCAACCAAGAACCATTGTACACACCCAAGTGCAAGGAAGAAATCAAGAAAACATTGATTCAAGTTGTGAGGCAACACCAAGTCAAGATGAGATGGCATCGTCATTTCATATAACATTATACGATGAGATTCCAACCGAGGGTGAAGATGTAGAGGATGCGCCTCAAGAGCTAGAAGAAGGGGTACAAGCCGCAGTGGACGAACTAAAAGAGGTTGATCTAGGAACTCCTGAAAATCCTCGACCTATCTTCATTAGTTCACTCCTTTCTAACAAAGATGAAGAAACATATGTCATACTTTTGAAAGAATATATTGATGTATTTGCATGGACATACAACGAGATGCCAGGGTTGGACCCAAAGGTAGCCGTGCACCGCTTGGCGGTGAAAAAGGGGTGTCGCCCTATTAAGAAGGCTCAACGGCGCTTTTGCCCCGAGCTCATTCCCTCAATCGAAGAAGAAGTCAACAAGCTTATAGAGGCTAGTTACATTCGCGAAGTCAAATACCCAACTTGGATATCCAACATTGTTCCTGTGTGCAAGAAGAATGGCCAGATCCGTGTGTGCGTAGACTTCCGACATCTTAACGTTGCATGCCCGAAAGATGACTTCCCGCTCCATATCACAGAGTTAATGATAGATGCCGTAACTGGACACGAGATCATGTCATTCATGGATGGCTCATCTGGTTACAATCAAATCCACATGGCGCCAGAAGATGAGGAATTTACAACGTTTCGTACGCCAAAAGGTATCTACTGCTACAAAGTGATGCCCTTTGGTTTGAAAAATGCACGTGCTACATACCAAAGGACTATGCAGACTATATTTGACGACATGCTGCATAAAATGGTGGAATGTTACGTTGATGACCTGGTTGTGAAGTCGAAACTTCGCACAGATCACATGATGCATCAAAAACAAGTCTTTGACCGCTTGCGGAAGTTTCAACTCAAAATGAACCCCCTGAAGTGTGCTTTCGGGGTTGTTGCTGGAAAATTCCTTGGGTTTACTGTTCGACATAGGGGCATTGAGATCGAACAAGCAAAGATCGACGCTATAATGAAGATGCCTGAGACAAGGAACCTTCATGAGCTTAAAAGCTTGCAAGGGAAATTGGCTTATATAAGAAGATTCATATCAAACCTAGCAGGAAGAAGTCAGCCCTTTAGCCGGTTAATGAAGAAGGGTGTCCCTTTTTAATGGGATGAGGCCTGCAAGAATGCATTCCAAAGCATCAAGTCATATTTAATGAAGCCGCATGTGCTGACTGCTCCAATTCCAGGACGCTCGTTGATCCTTTACATCTCCGCCCAAGAGAGCTCTGTGGGTGCTTTACTTGCACTAGAGAATAATTATGGGAAAGAAAATGCCCTTTATTATTTAAGTAGAATGATGAAGCCAAATGAGCTCAAATATCTGCCAATTGAGACGTTGTGTCTGGCCCTTGTATTCGCAATCAGGAAGCTCAAGCACTATTTTGAAGCGCATACAATTCGACTAGTTTCCAGGGCGAACCCAGTAAAGTATGTCATGGCAAAGGTTGTTCTTTCGGATCGACTTGCGAGGTGGTACTTATTATTTCAACAGTTTGAGATCACTTATGTACAGCAGAAGTCCATCAAGGAGCAAGGCTTAGCAGATTTCCTAGCCGATCACCCAATTCCTGCCGAATGGGAGCTGTCCAATGACCTACCTGATGAGGATGTGCTTGTGGTTGAAGTCTTAGCTCAATGAAAGATGTACTTTGATGGAGCGGCACACAAAGAGGGGGCAGGCGCTGGAGTTGTCTTTGTTACGCCTGAAGGGGAAGTGCTTCCTTATTCATTTACCTTGACAGAACGATGTTCGAACAATGTTGCCGAGTATCAAGCACTCATTTTGGGACTTGAAATTGCAGCTGATATGAAGCAACTAAGGGTTAACATATATGGGGACTCCAAACTGATTATCAACCAAGTACTTGGGGTTTACGAAGTAAAAAAGCCAGAGTTGATCCCATACAACAGTTATGCAAAGACGCTGCTACATTGGCTAGGAGATGCTACGATGGAGCACATTCCAAGGAAACATAATAAGCAAGCCGATGCCTTAGCTGCTTTGGCTTCAACTATATCACATCCTATAGATGAAGCTCGGTTACGAGTATGCAAAAAATGGGTGGTCCCTCCAATCTTCGAAGACGATGGCTCTCTTGACGACATTGTTGAACTCCCGACTGCTTCTGTCTATGAGGTAGATAAAGAGGATTGGAGGCAATCACTGATTAACTACCTTGTCGATGGGAAGTTACCTCAAGACCCTCGTAGGAGGGTAGATGTAAGACGTCGAGCTCCTCGCTTCATATATTTCAAGGATGCGCTATACAGGCGCTCGTTTGATGGTGTGTTTCTTCGATGTTTAGGCGAAGAGGAAGCTTTACAAGCAATGGAGGAGGCTCACGCTGGAGTGTGCGGTGCTCATCAGTTTGGTCCTAAGTTACATTTTCACATCAAAAGAATGGTTACTACTGGCCTACGATGGTGAAGGATTGCATAGACTATGCACGTAGTTGTCAAGCATGTCAATTTCATGCGAACTTTATCCATCAACCTCCTGAACTGCTACATCCGACGGTAGCATCATGGCCATTTGATGCATTGGGGCTCGATGTGGTTGGTCCTATTACACCCAAGTCATCAGCAGAGCATTCGTATAGCCCACCGATTATTTCTCAAAGTGGGCTAAAGCAGTGGCTTTAAAGGAAGTGAAGAAGGAAAATGTTGCAGACTTCATCCGAGTTCACATTATCTATCGTTTTGGCATCCCTCGGTATATCGTAACCGACAACGGGAAACCATTCGATAATAAATTGATGGATAAAATCTGCAAACTTTTTGAGTTCGAGCAAAGAAATTCATCAGCTTATTATGCAGCTAGCTGCAAATGGACTTGCCGAGGCTTTTAACAAAACTCTATGCAATCTACTAAAAAAGGTGGTATCGAAGTCAAAATGTGATTGGCAAGAGAGGATGGAAGAAGCACTGTGGGCATACAGAACTACATACCGTACACCAACACAAAACACTCCATACTCACTAGCATGGTTGCAAAACTGGGCATACAGAACTACATACCGTACACCAACACCGAGCCTTGCCGTTTTAGCCTAAAGGTGGCCAAAACTCGGCCGCCCGCCTAGGCGGCCAAACTCGGCCTGGTCGGTCAAACTCGGCCGAGTCGGTCAAACTCGGCCGAGTCGGTCAACTCGGCCAACTCGACCGATTTCGTCCGATTTTGTCTAATTTTGACCAATTTTTTTCAATTTTTACCGATGTCGTCTTTCATTAATTATTGATTTTAATATTATTATGGCGTTATGACTTATAAATTATCATTATTTCATTTATTTAGATGTGCTATTTGATTGAATGTTGAAAACAACCTCATTAAAATTGTCAAACTACAAACCTGTCACTATTTTTTTAAAATTTTTTTGGTGCCCGCCTAACGCCGCCTAGGCGCTTGGCGCTGCCCGGCCGCCAAACTAGCGCCTAGCATTTACTGCAACTATGCTCACTAGTATATGGGGTTGAAGCAGTTTTGCTTCTTGAACGCCAAATACCTTCTCCAAGGTTAGCTATCCAATAAGGCCTTACAGACAACGATAATGTAAAGTTGCGGTTGGCAGAGTTAGAAGCTCTCGACGAGAAGAGGTTGCAGGCTCAACAAAGTTTAGAATGCTATCAAGCTCGAATTTCTAGAGCTTTCAACAAGAGGGTGAGGATTCGCTCATTTCAGGTTGGTGACAAGGTGTTGGCGGTTCGTAGACCTATCATTATTACAAGGAAAACTGGGCACAAGTTTACTCCAAAATGGGATGGACCTTACGTGGTACAAGAAGCATACTCAGGAGGTGCTTACAAGATAATTGATGAAGATGGTGTGCGAGTTGGACCTATTAACGGGAAATTCTTAAAGATCTATCATCCATAAACACACGGACTACATGATGAATGATATCCACCAACAATGCAGCACGTGGTTAAAATGCTAATGCATCACACTTGTCTATGGGTGGGCCCAAGTCATAGACGCTCCTGGCCCGCACGATCTTAAACTGTGTACGGTAAACTCCTGGTCCGCATTAGTTTAAACTGTGAACGGCCCTACCTATTCAAATGGTCCTTTGAACTACGTTTGACTTGATCTCCTTTGCAGGAGTACGTAGGCAGCTTAGAACACTTCCTCTTCTAAGTTCAGTCATAACTAAAATAAACCCATTTGTGTCCACTTTATGTCACGTTTGTTCGAATAATGTAGATGTATTGGATATGAGTCATCTCTGTTCATGTTGTAATTATGGGTGAATTCTTTTGTCAGATTTCTATTAAAGTGACTCGTTCGTGTTTAGACTTACAAGTACTTTTGAAAAAGAGAAGAGAATTCAAGTCGTATTCAAGTCTTGGTTTCCGAGTAAAACTCATACAAATTGGCCGAAATACAAAAAAAAAAAAAAAAAAAAAAAAAAAAAAAAGGTAAACAAACCGAAGAGCTAAGCAAAAAAAAAAAAAAAAAAAAAAAAAAAAAAAAAAAAAAAAAAAAAAATCTAAACTATTCTAAAGCTCATAAGATCTTCCTTATACGCTTCCAGCTCTCTTTTGATTAAAGTAAGCTTTTCTTCATCTTCATCCGTCAAAGTGGGGCAGTCTCGAATACGTTTAACTTCCTCCTCAGCGGTGGTCACGTCCTCTTGCGATGCGTTATGTTGTTCTTGAGCCTTCGTCAAACGGTCTTGGAGTTCCGGGTTCTTGGCTTCAATCTCCTTCAACTCTTCCTGCGCATCCTTTATCGTTTTCTCCAGGAGGGTTTTTCGATCGGCAACGTCTTTGAGGGTTTTCTGTTGGTCAAGAAGAAGCGCTTCGGTTTGAGAACGCTTCTGTTGAGCTTCTATATGGACACCTTGCGTTAGAACTAGCTTCGGGGCTTGAGTTTCAACGGACAGTGCATTTGAGAGCTGCGACCGCACCCGATCGTAATCTTTGGCTTTTTTAAAGAACTCGGCCACTCGTTGCTTCAATGTTGATAGGTCCACTCCGTCCCGTCCCATTTCTTGGAGTTGTCTTTCAACGCTTCCTTGGAAAGAAGAAATTCTTTTAGAGGGAATCTCATTATGCTTCTTGCAGATATTACTCCAAAGTCCTGCAATAAAAGTCGTGTATTGTGATATAAACGACTCCTTGCCGAGAAATATAGAGGCTTGGGACGGTTCTGGTTGCGCCTTTTGAGGAGTTGTGTTTAAGGGTGGCATCGATTGGTGAGATACTACCTCGAGATCAAGGGTATTAGTGCGTCCACCACTTTGTCCCATTGAAGATTGGTGATTTGATGACTGGACATCGTTGCTAACATGTGGCTCGACAAGATCCTGTAAGAAGTAGTGCATGTACGTTAACAAAGGCCAAAGTTCAACGATATACGAAACGGAAGAATTTGGGGAGGTATCTTAACCTGGCTCAATGGTCTCCCTCTGGGCCGTTTCCAACAGCGATCTTGATCGTCATCACTACCAGCATCCTCGTCCGAGCTTCACTGCCTCGCTTGCTCCTTCGAACGGCATGTCCTGAGGCTCTATCCCGAGATGACATGTCCTCTTGTGCAGGTGTCTTGTCGTTCCTCGAGGTAGTCAATTGGTCTCTTTGTTCTCGAGTTCTTTCCTCACCAACAGGTACATTTGGGTTCCCGTTAACAGCTATGTCTTTGAAATGATTCTCAAGAAGGTTTGCACTCACATCGATCAACCAGGCCTTGTACTCGTCCGAAAAATGCTTCTTTGGAGCAGCCGGGCTCATGGGAAATCTCGCCCTGGATTTGGAGTTGATATTATCATATTGGCGATGAAGTCGGAATCCTTCAGTGAGTGAAACAGAACGGACATCCTTCGCCAATAGGCCGGGGGCATATGCTTGATAGAATCCAAATTGACGACTGAAGTGATGCGGTATATAAGGCTCAGCTTTGCATCGAGATCCTTGGCGCAAAACGAGGAAGCTGGGGCGCAAACATATGAAGTACTCAAAGTCTTCCTTATTCCCTCTATGGTTGTCGTAAAAGGTAAAATCTCTATCATCCTTGCGGGAGTTGCAGAGCCAAGAAACGTCCCCTTTGAATATCTTCTTACGGGCATCCATCTCATTGTAATGCCTTGCATCACCTTCTCCAGAATTAGTGACCATCTTTGAGTTTGCTAACGTGAGGCTAGGGGTCTTAAAGTGGGTTTGGTAGTAACCTGCTAGCTAACTGTACACGTAATGGATTGGAAAGGATCTCCTATTTGACCGGGAGAGTGGGATTCTGAGATTGAGTTTAAACCAGAATAGATGCTAGCAAGTACTGGAGGCGCAAGACATATCTTATCTCCTCTAGCCATCATGCATGCTATCTTGAAAGTCTCGGGGCGAATGGTTCTTGTTGGTGTGCCTGGTAGGACAAACACGCAAAACCAACAAGATAAGAACGCGACTAAGTAAGCTTCCTTTCCGAAATGCCGGGAGATGCCTAGTTCAAGAAAGGGCATCTTGCTCACATCTGACCACCTGATGGGTATGTTAAGTACTCCGCTTGGGTTGTGGGTAGACTTTGGCCGGGACTTCATGTACTTTTGAGATCGAGGTGGAGGAGCTGGATGTGTTCGTGGTTTTCTGCACCAGAAGTTAATCCATCGCGATGCTTGAACGTAGGGGGTGCCACCCTCTTGTTGGTTTAAGAGATAAAAAGCCTCGAACAAGATTGCGCACCACTTGTTTGAACCCCTTTTTAGGTCCAGGGCACTCGGGATGTGTTCGTCATAAACGCCGCCGGACATTGGTAGTCCCCCAAGAACATGCAAATCCCGAGGCGATATGCTCACCTCACCAGACGAGGTGATCAGGGTGTTGGTTCGCGGACACCATGCTTCGCAGGAGGCTTTGACGATGCTGATGTTACGGTCATATGTAAACAATGACGCGTACACAGCATCATATATCGTCCCATCCTTTAAGGTGTCGTAGGAGAAGTGAAGTATTTCTTCAACCCACTTCCAATATCCTTTTAGAAAAGTGAACTCGCCCTCGAAGTCTATGTCTTGGCCCCACGAGACCTCAGCATCAAGTATGCGATGCCCCAGTGTAGGAAAGGCGTCTTTGGAGGGTTGGTGCTGCATTCCTGGTAGCAAGGTCCACACCTTGGATGGCGGACATTCGTACTCGGGGGTCCAGTTGCTCTCATGATACGACACCGTGAGCTTTGGCGGGTCACGCATTACTATGGATGGGTTAACCGCCAATGTGACTTGATGATCGCTCTTTCTGCTCGAAATCACCATGACCTCTTGCCCGTTTTGTCGTTGATCTTGAAAGTACACCATTTTGGACGTGTCAAAGTCGAAAAGTCGTTGCAAAAAAAAAAAAACAAAGGAAATAACAATAATGATGATATATTATGCACAAATATATAGCATATACATAACACAAAACTAAATTGATCAATCATATGTATACTACACGTGGATTATATGTATTAATACATTATATACATGTATACACAATATTATTATTATTATTATTATTATTATTATTATTATTATTATATTAGTTGTTGTCAAAATATTGCAAGACAAAAGAAATTGGAAGTAAGAAATAAAAAATAAAAATAAAAAGAATCAGAAAGCAAAGTAGAAAAAAAAAAGAGACAGAACTAAACGAAAGTCAAAGAAAAACAAAAAAAAAAACTAGTTTCCGATTTTTTTTAATGTTTTGTAGTTTTTTTTTTTTTTTTTGTTTTTCTTTGACTTTCGTTTTGTTTTGTCTCTTTTTTTTTTTTTTTTTTTTTTTACTTTGCTTTCTGATTCTTTTTTTTTTTTTTATTTCGTACTTCCAATTTCTTTTGTTTTGCAATATTTTGATAACAACTAATATAATAATAATGATAATAATAAGAATAATAAGAATAATAATAATAATAATAATAATAATAATAATAATAATAATAATAATAATAATAATAATAATAATAATAATAATAATGTGTATATATGTATATAATGTATTAATACATGTAATCCACGTGCAGTATACATATGATTCACCAATTTAGTTTTGTGTTATGTATATGCTATATATTTGTGCATAATATATCATCATTATTGTTATTTCCTTTGTTTTTTTTTTTTGCAACGACTTTTCGACTTTGACACGTCCAAAATGGTGTACTTTCAAGATCAACGACATAACGGGCAAGAGGTCATGGTGATTTCGAGCAGAAAGAGCGATCATCAAGTCACATTGGCGGTTAACCCATCCATAGTAATGCGTGACCCGCCAAAGCTCACGGTGTCGTATCATGAGAGCAACTGGACCCCCGAGTACGAATGTCCGCCATCCAAGGTGTGGACCTTGCTACCAGGAATGCAGCACCAAGCCTCCAAAGACGCCTTTCCTACACTGGGGCATCGCATACTTGATGCTGAGGTCTCGTGAGGCCAAGACATAGACTTCGAGGGCGAGTTCACTTTTCTAAAAGGATATTGGGAGTGGGTTGAAGAAATACTTCACTTCTTCTACGAAACCTTAAAGGATGGGATGATATCTGATGCTGTGTACGCGTCATTGTTTACATATGACCGTAACATCAACATCGTCAAAGACTTCTGCGAAACATGGTGTCCGCGAACCAACACCCTGATCACCTCGTCTGGTGAGGTGAGCATATCGCCTCGGGATTTGCACGTTCTTGGGGGACTACCAATGTCCGGTGGCGTTTATGACGAACACATCCCGAGTGCCCTGGACCTAAAAAGGGGTTCAAACAAGTGGTGCGCAAGCCTGTTCGAGGCTTTTTATCTCTTAAACCAGCAAGAGGGTGGCACCCGCTACGTTCAAGCATCGCGATGGATTGACTTCTGGTGCAGAAAACCACGAACACATCCAGCTCCTCCACCTCCATCTCAAAAGGACAGGAAGTCCCGACCAAAGTCTACCCACAACCCAAGCGGAGCACTTAACACACCCGTTAGGTGGTCAGATGTGAGCAGGATGCCCTTTCTTGAATTAGGCATCTCCCGGCGCTTCGAAAAGGAAGCTTACTTAGCCGCTTTCTTATCTTGTTGGCTTTGCGTGTTTGTCCTACTAGGCACACCAACAAGAACCATTCGCCTCGAGACTTTCAAGATAGCATGCATGATGGCTAGAGGAGATAAGATATGTCTTGCGCCTCCAGTACTTGCTAGCATCTATTATGGTTTAAACTCAATCTCGGAATCCCACTCTCCCGGTCAAATAGGATATCCTTTTCCAATCCATTACGTGTAGATTGGCTAGCAGCTTACTACCAAACCCACTTTAAGACCCCTACCCTCACGTTAGCAAACCCAAAGATGGTCACTAATTCTGGAGAAGGTGGGGCAAGGCATTACAATGAGATGGATGCCCGTAAAAAGATATTCAAAGGGGACGTTTCTTGGCTCTGCAACTCCCACAAGGATGATAGAGATTTTACCTTTTACAACAACCGTAGAGGGAGTAAGGAAGACTTTGAATACTTCATATGTTTGCGCCCCAGCTTCCTCGTTTTGCGCCAAGGATCTCGATGCAAAGCTGAGCCTTATATGTCGCAGCTACAGTCGTCAATTTGGATTCTATCAAGCATATGCCCCCGGCCTGTTGGCGAAGGATGTCCGTTCTGTTTCACTCACCGAAGGATTCCGACTTCATCGCCAATATGATAATATCAACTCCCAATCCAGGGTGACATTTCCCATGAGCCCGGCTGCTTCAAAGAAGCATTTTTCGGACGAGTACAAGGCCTGGTTGATCGATGTGAGTGCAAACCTTCTTGAGAATCATTTCAAAGACATAGCTGTTAACGGGAACCCAAATGTACCTGTTGGTGAGGAAAGAACTCGAGAACAAAGAGACCAATTGACCACCTCGAAGAACGACAAGACACCTGCACAAGAGGACATGTCATCTCGAGATAGAGCCTCAGGACATGCGGTTCGAAGGAGCAGAGAGGAGCAAGCGAGGCAGCGAAGCTCGGACGAGGATGCTGGTAGTGATGAAGATCAAGATCGCTGTTGGAAACGGCCCAGAGGGAGACCATTGAGCCAGGTTAAGATACCTCCCCAAATTCTTCCATTTCGTATATCGTTGAACTTTGGCCTTTGTTAACGTACATGCACTACTTCTTACAGGGTCCTTTCGAGCCACATGTTAGCAACGATGTCCAGTCATCAAATCACCAATCTTTAATGGGACAAAGTGGCTGACGCTCTAATACCCTTGACCTCGAGGTAGTATCTCACCAATCGATGCCACCCTTAAACACAACTCCTCAAAAGGCGCAGCCAGAACCGTCCCAAACCTCTATCTTTCCAGGCGAGGAGTCGTTTATATCACAATACACGACTTTTATTGCAGGACTTTGGAGTAATATCTGCAGGAAGCTTAATGAGATTCCAGCTGAAAGAATTTCTTCTTTCCAAGAAAGCGTTGAAAGACAACTCCAAGAAATGGGACGGGACGGAGTGGACCTATCAACATTGAAGCAACGAGTGGCCGAGTTCTTTAACAAAGCCAAAGATTACGATCGAGTGCGGTCGCAGCTCTCAAATGCACTGTCTGTTGAAACCCAAGCCGCGAAGCTAGTTATAACGCAAGGTGTCCTTATAGAAGCTCAACAGAAGCGTTCTCAAATCGAAGCGCTTCTTCTTAACCAAGAGAAAACCCTCAAAGACGCTGCCGATCGAAAAACCCTCCTGGAGAAAACGATAAAGGATGCGCAGGAAGAGTTGAAGGAGATTGAAGCCAAGAACCCGGAACTCCAAGACCGTGTGACGAAGGCTCAAGAACAACATAACGCATCGCAAGAGGCCGTGACCACTGCTGAGGAGGAAGTTAAACGTATTCGAGACTGCCCCACTTTGACGGATGAAGATGAAGAAAAACTTACTTTAATCAAAAGAGTGCTAGAAGCGTATAAGGAAGATCTTATGAGCTTTAGAATACTTTAGATTTTTTTTTTTTTTTTTTTGCTTAGCTCTTCGGTGTTCCATTTGTTTACCTTTTTTTGTATTTCTGCCAATTTGTATCAGTTTTACTTGGAAAACAAGACTTGAATACGACTTGAATTGTCTTCTCTTTTTCAACAATACTTGCAAACAATTTTCTTGATTACAAGTGCAAAAAGTATACTCGGAGGAAAGTAATTGAACTTGAACATGAACAGAAGCAACTAAGTCTAAACCCAAACGAGTCACTTTAATATAAATCTGACAAAAGAATTCACCCGTAATTACGACATGAACAGAGATGGCTCATCTCCAATACATCTACATTATTCGAACAAACGGGACATAAAGGGGACACAAAGGGGTTTATTTTAGTTATGACTGAACTTAGAAGAGGAAGTGATTCTAAGCTGCCTACGTACTCCTGCAAAGGAGATCAAGTCAAACGTAGTTCAAAGGACCATTTGAATAGGTAGGGTCGTTCACAGTTTAAACTCATGCGGGCCAGGAGTTTACCGTACACAGTTTAAGCTCGTGCGGGTCAGGAGCGTCTATGACTTAGGCCCATCCATAGACAAGCGAGATGAATTAGCATTTTAACCACGTGTTGCATTGTTTGTGGATATCATTCATCATGTAGTCCGTGTGCTTAGGGATGACAGATCTTTAAGAATTTCCCGTTAATAGGGCCAACTCGCACACCATCTTCATCAATTAGCTTGTAAGCACCTCCTGAGTATGCTTCTTGTACCACGTAAGGTCCATCCCATTTTGGAGTAAACTTGTGCCCAGTTTTCCTTGTAATAATGATAGGTCTACGAACCGCCAACACCTAGTCACCAACCTGAAATGAGCGAATCCTCACCCTCTTGTTTAAAGCTCTAAAAATTCGAGCTTGATAGCATTCTAAACTTTGTTGAGCCTGCAACCTCTTCTCGTCGAGAGCTTCTAACTCTACCAACCGCAACTTTACATTATCCTCGTCTGTAAGGCCTTCTTGGATAGCTAACCTTAGAGAAAGTATTTGGCGTTCAAGAGGCAAAACGGCTTCAACCCCATATACCAGTGAGTATGGAGTGCTTTGTGTTGGTGTACGGTATGTAGTTCTGTATGCCCACAGTGCTTCTTCCATCCTCTCTTGCCAATCATGTTTTGACTTCGATACCACCTTTTTTAGTAGATTGCATAGAGTTTTGTTAAAAGCCTAGGCAAGTCCATTTGCAGCTGCATAATAAGCTGATGAATTTCTTTGCTCGAACTCAAAAAGTTTGCAGATTTTATCCATCAATTTATTATCGAATGGTTTCCTGTTGTCGGTTAGGATATACCGAGGGATGCCAAAACAATAGATAATGTAAACTCGGATGAAGTCTGCAACATTTTCCTTCTTCACTTCCTTTAAAGCCACTGCTTTAGCCCACTTTGAGAAATAATCGGTGGCTGCTAATATATACGAATGCTCTGCTGATGACTTGGGTGTAATAGAACCAACCAAATCGAGCCCCCATGCATCAAATGGCCATGATGCTACCGTTGGATGTAGCGGTTCAGGAGGTTGATGGATAAAGTTCGCATGAAATTGACATGCTTGACATCTACGTGCATAGTCTATGCAATCCTACACCATCGTAGGCCAGTAGTAACCCATTCTTTTGATGTGAAAATGTAACTTAGAACCAAACTGATGAGCACCGCACGCTCCAGCGTGAGCCTCCTCCATCGCTTGTAAAGCTTCCTCTTTGCCTAAACATCGAAGAAACACACCATCAAACAAGCGCCTGTATAGCGCATCCTTGAAATATATGAAGCGAGGAGCTCGACGTCTTACATCTACCCTCCTACGAGGGTCTTGAGGTAACTTCCCATCAACAAGGTAGTCAATCAGTGATTGCCTCCAATCATCTTTATCTACCTCATAGACAGAAGCAGTCGGGAGTTCAACAATGTCGTCAAGAGAGCCATCGTCTTCGAAGATTGGAGGGACCACCCATTTTTGGCATACTCGTAACCGAGCCTCATCTATAGGATGTGGTATAGTTGAAGCCAAAGCAGCTAAGGCATCGGCTTGCTTATTATGTTTCCTTGGAATGTGCTCCATCGTAGCATCTCCTAGCCAATGTAGCAGCGTCTTTGCATAACTGTTGTATGGGATCAACTCTGGCTTTTTTACTTCGTAAACCCCAAGTACTTGGTTGATAATCAATTTGGAGTCCCCGTATATGTTAACCCTTAGTTGCTTCATATCAGCTGCAATTTCACGTCCCAAAATGAGTGCTTGATACTTGGTAACATTGTTCGAACATCGTTCTGTCAAAGTAAATGAATAAGGAAGCACTTCCCTTTCAGGCGTAACAAAGACAACTCCAGCGTCTGCCCCCTCTTTGTGTGCCGCTCCATCAAAGTACATCTTCCAGGGAGGTAAGACTTCAACCACAAGCACATCCTCATCAGGTAGGTCATTGGACAGCTCCCATTCGGCAGGAATTGGGTGATCGGCTAGGAAATCCGCTAAGGCTTGCCCCTTGATGGACTTCTGTGGTACATAAGTGATCTCAAACTGTTAAAATAATAAGTACCACCTCGCAAGTCGATCGGAAAGAACAACCTTTGCCATGACATACTTTACTGGGTTCGCCCTGGAAACTAGTCGAATTGTATGCGCTTCAAAATAGTGCTTGAGCTTCCTTATTGTGAATACAAGGGCCAGACACAACTTCTCAATTGGCAGATATTTGAGCTCATTTGGCGTCATCATTCTACTTAAATAATAAAGGGCATTTTCTTTCCCATTATCATTCTCTTGTGCAAGTAAAGCACCCACAGAGCTCTCTTGGGCGGAGATGTAAATGATCAACGAGTGTCTTGGAATTGGAGCAGTTAGCACAGGCGGCTTCATTAAATAGGACTTGATGCTTTGGAATGCATTCTTGCAAGCCTCATCCCATACAAACGGGACATCCTTCTTCATTAACCGGCTAAAGGGCTGACATCTTCCTACTAGGTTTGATATGAATCTTCTTATATAAGCCAACTTCCCTTGCAAGCTTTTAAGCTCATGAAGGTTCCTTGGCTCAGGCATCTTCATTATAGCATCGATCTTTGCTTGTTCGATCTCAATGCCCCTATGTCGAACAGTAAAGCCAAGGAATTTTCCAGCAGCAACCCCGAAAGCACACTTCAGGCGGTTCATTTTGAGTTAAAACTTCCGCAAGCGGTCAAAGACTTGTCTTAGATGCATCATGTGATCTATGCGAAGTTTCGACTTCACAACCAGGTCATCTACGTAACATTCCACCATTTTATGCAGCATGTCGTCAAATGTAGTCTGCATGGCCCTTTGGTATGTAGCACCTGCATTTTTCAAACCAAAGGGCATCACTTTATAGCAGTAGATACCTTTTGGCATACGAAACACTATAAATTCATCATCTTCTGGCGCCATGCGGATTTGATTGTAACTAGATGAGCCATCTATGAATGACATGATCTCGTGTCCAGTTACGGCATCTATCATTAACTCTGTGATAGGGAGCGGGAAGTCATCTTTTGGGCATGCAACGTTAAGATCTCGGAAGTTTATGCACACACGGATCTGGCCATTCATCTTGCACACAAGAATAATGCTGGATATCCAAGTTGGGTATTTAACTTCGCGAATGAAACCAACCTCTATAAGCTTGTTGACTTCTGCTTCGATTGAGGGAATGAGCTTGGGGCGAAAGCGCCGTTGAGCTTGCTTAATAGGGCGACACCCCTTTTTCACCGCCAAGCGGTGCACGGCTACCTTTGGGTCCAACCATGGCATCTCCTTGTATGTCCATGCAAATACATCAATATATTCTTTCAAAAGTATGACATATGTTTCTTCATCTTCGTTAGAAAGGAGTGAACTAATGAAGATAGGTCGAGGATTTTCAGGAGTTCCTAGATCAACCTCTTTTAGTTCGTCCACTGCGGCTTGTACCCCTTCTTCTAGCTCTTGAGGCGCATCCTCTACATCTTCACCCTCGGTTGGAATCTCATCGTATAATGTTATATGAAATGACGATGCCATCTCATCTTGACTTGGTGTTGCCTCACAACTTGAATCAATATTTTCTTGATTTCTTCCTTGCACTTGGGTGTGTACAATGGTTCTTGGTTGGACCTTCAAAAATTCACCACACGAGACATGGATATCAACTTCTCCTCTCATACGAGACAGAACGGCACTCCTGAGCCTTTTTTAGGGTTCCATTTCAGTAGGAGGGTTGGTCTGCTCTTTCGAACTCTGAGTAAGCCCAATAAAGTCATGTACTGATTTTCTCTTAGCAGGTTTGGGATTCGGCCCAGGTCTACGAAAAATTGATTGTCGTGATTCTACATCTCCCATTCTATCAAAAACAGACTGTTTCTTGTCACTTTCCTCCTCATCCGTAGAAGTGATGCAATTACTTGTGGCTCTGTTTATGAATATTCGCACTGGCTCAGGGGGGACATAACCTAATCCTTTCCATCCATGCAGTTCCTGCTTATTTGACTTGCCTTTACCACCAGCCTCTGGGATGAGTTTCCCCAGCTTCTCTGGCTCTTTGGGATTATATCCAGCTCTGAATAGAAGTTTATAAGCATTAGGGTCGAAGCCGCCAGTGCGCTTAGCGGGCACTGTTTGACTTGTCCCAACTTGAGCTTCATCTTTAAGCGGTTTAACTGAAGCTGCTTTTAACGTTTCAATCCTTGCGAGTGGGAAAACAAGTTCCTTGTCGCAATGAGCTTGGTCTACAACTTGCTTGCCCTTCCACTTTGGATTAGGAGGCGTGTCAACATCGCTTTGGTCAGCCTCCTCTACAACTTGTTTTCTCAAGTAAAACTTTGCATCTGCAAAGTATGATTCTGCTTCAATGAAGGGAGTTTCATCAACGACTACCTTTTCTATCACCCCGCCTTTTTCAAACATGAGGCATTGGTGCCAGGATGAGGGAACTACTCCATTCTCATGTATCCAAAGGCCGGCCCAGCGGCAAGTTGTAAGATGTCCTTGCATCTATCACATAACATAGTGTACTTGAGTTTAGTGTTCCGATCCTGAGGTCCAGTCTGATGGTACCCAGTGCTATTTTTCCGCCTTGATTAAATCCTTGAATCATTAGGCGGCTTTGAGAGAGCTCATCGGTGGAAATGCCAAGTTCTTTCATAGCTCGGAGTGATAGAATGTTCACAACCGACCCTTGATCAATCAAAATCCTTTTAATCTTTTGCTCGCGGGCATAACCTTCAACAAACAACGGACAATTATGTGGTGTACCACCAAGCAATAGATCCTCATCTTTAAAAGTTATCTCGGCGGTATAAGACGCGGCTTTGTGGACTTGAACCTCGTCACCTCCTTCAATCACGGGGAATGAACATTCCCCCTCTTCAACATGTCTCTCTTTAATATTCAAGCGAGTTCCAGGAATATTTGTCCCATGCGGAGGAAGCGCCTTTGGCATGTATTGAGCCAGGGCAACTGGTGTTCGAGGCTTGCCGGGACGTCTTTTCATCTTTGTGTCATAGGAGGGGTCCCTTGCTGGGTTTCTCTCAACCCATTGCTTTGTTATTCTCCTCAAAGATCTAACATGTCCAGCATTGTTCCTTTGTTTTTTGCGGGTAACAACTACCTAATCCTTCTCCCATACTGGATTGACCTGTGGTGACTCTGGATGTTGCTTAGTAACATGTTTCACAATGAATGGAAGCGGGCATTTGTATTGCTTGCCCCCATCTTCTTCATCACTCTCTACAACTAACGGAGCGAACCTTCCGCATGAAATTTGGTTGGTGCTGGCAGTTGCAACAGCCAGCTCAATCTTTCCATCACGAGCAAGCCCCATCACCTTATCCTTAAAGACAAAGCACTTTTCAATCGGGTGTCCGAGGAGACGATGATACTTGCAATAGTTGGGGTCGCCCACCCTGGAAGCTTCTTCAGGACGCTTCATCTCTGGTAATTCAATCAACTTGAGATTTAACAATTCATCAAACATAGGTGACACATCAGAATCCAAGAACGGATACTGTTTTTGCTGCATCTCTTCAATGATTCTAGTACCCCTTGATGGGCGGGAAAAAGACCTTAGCCTAGGATTTTCAATCACTTTGGTGAAAACCCGCATTGGTGATGTTTTCACGTTCATAGCCTCCTTCTTTTCTTGTTTCTGGAAGGGCTTGCCCCCTTTCTTGAATTCTTGTTTTACAGGTGCCTTGGATGAGCTAGGGATATTTGGCATGCCGAGCCCTCCATTGGCTTCAATACTCAACTCCATGTACGACTGGATAGTTCTTCAAATGCTCTAGGCTTGATTCCCTGCAAGATATAAGAGAGCTCGAAGTGCATCCCTTTGGATGCACATTTCAATTGCGGAGCTTTGTGATATCCTCTCTTTACAGTTAAGGCACAACTCCCTTTGTGTTGCCGGTTCGAGAATTTTGAATTAATTTGCCTATTTGGAGCAGAAGGCCGATGTGGCAGATCAGAGGCCTGGGGCTTGGCGGAGGTGGTTGTTGAAGATTGTGGCACAAGCACTTCCTACATTTACTAGAGTGTTTTCCTGTTACCAATCTGGCCACTGTTCATATGGTGATGGGGGTTTTGTCTAAATGGCATGAAAGTAAAGCTTTAGATTTTAGGCGAGGACCGGGTGTGGTGCAATAGGAGGCCGTACGGTGGTAGTGGAGCAGCAACCGGGTAAGGGGGAGCAAAAAAAAACAGACTGACCGAAATATCGACGACCGATAACTGAATCGCCCGAATATTTTGATTTTCGGTTCGGTTTCAGTTATTAAGGTAAAAAAAAGTTTGGTTATTTTGATTTTTCGGCCGGTTATCGATTTTTCAAGAGAAAACCAAAAATCGACCGAAAAATCTAAGATTAATTTAAATTAAAAAATACAAATAAAAATAAAACTAACCCCATCTCATTTACATTTTACAAGTCTATAGTCTATCACAATAATTTTAATCACTAATTGGAGTGCACAGCATTTGTGAACCATATAATATAAATATAGTTCATTTATATCTCAATAAACTACTATTGTACTTGAGGACATTAATTTTAATTGATTATAAATACTATTTGTAATGTATATTCGTTACGGTCTTTTTTTTTTTTTTTTTTTTTTTGTTAGATAGTGATCAGTTACATTTAAACCAGTCTAAAAAAAAACCAACAAAACAACAAACAGTACAAGATACTCGATAGTTGTGCTTATGACAAGAAAAATTGGCAAATAATACATTAATACACACAAAACTTATAACGATAATAAGATTTGAGTTGGTTTCACTGACACTGTTGAAGATGCCAGTCTTAAATGCCAGTCTTAAAAGCGTGTGCCTTCAGCAATCTCACCAGTAACACCATCTAAGTTACAATTTACCTACTGAATGTTCACAATTTTACATACTAAATGTTCACAATTCAAATTATGAACATTCAGTATGTAAATTTTGTATGTTGGACCCCGAGTCCACCTTGCAAGGTGTACCAGATCCATGGTATAACTGTTGACAATCAAATATTGTTTTGCCCTCTTCAACAAGAAAACCATTTTTGTGTAATAGAATAGCATTTTTTAACAAGTCATGCTAAAGACAAATACAAAGAAGGGGTGGAACATTTATGTTCAATGCCCACAGGGAGTAAATTCTACAACACATGTTAGCTGTTCATTTTTATTTTAGGTCCACAAGCATTTGCAGGTAGCCAGGCATAACAGTACAGATCTTGAATGGGTAGGTATAAGTGTATATATAACGAATGAAATAATAGAATGGCAAGAATAAACAATGAGAGAAAGAAATCGGCAACATGGGTGAGAAAGAAGTGTACAGCCTACCTACCATATAAGATGATCCAAGTAGTGAAAGAAGCAACCTGATTGCATCATGCTTTTCATTCACTTAGCTTACACGCACGAAAGTAGGGATGATCAAATTTTACATACTTGGACCAGTATAACTTGTACTTTGTCATTGCCAACTCTAGCCATGGTTTCATATTCCCGTTATAGTGAATAACAGCAGCATTTTCAATCTCTTTCCGATCAATGCTGGGGCTATATCCCAGACCTAGGACATGCCATGATTTGTCAAGAGGATGTGTAAGCCCATAAAATGTGATCAGCCCAGGAGGCAAAGTCCCTAGCTTCCACAGAGCCCTCTCCTCATTCTAATTTAAAAAGGAAGCCAGAAAAGAAGTTAGAAGACTAGACTAGGCACCATTCTACACTACTACCTAAGACCACCACACACTGCAATTCAACTTGCGACTCAGTTATACAGTTGCAACACATTAGAAAATATTCAACGGAACCAATCACTTTATAAACAAAATATTTTCATATAACATTTAAACAAACAAAACTAACAAATAAAACTTCTAGTGCATGCTATGCATATACCAGAATTCATATATAGCATTGAGAGACTGAAAATGAACATAGATGAAAAGGAATAAGATTACTCACCATGTTCTGCCATTTGTGGTAAATGCCAGTTATGTCTCTCTTCTTCCATTCCTTAAGATCGAACATGTTCATCCCATATGCCCATCCACAAGCATTTGGATCAAAGTTTCTGGCAATGTGGGGATTTGTGAAATTCAAATACTTGTTAAAACGGTGAAAGCTCTCACCACAGGTTTCAACTGCACCATTCACTTTTCCATGAAGATCGATGGACCACAATGGGGTCAAGTCTTTCTGAACAACAATGTCATCATCAAGAAAAAGGATTTTATCCAACTTTGGATAAACCTCAGGGAGATAAAATCGGAGGTGATTAAGCATGGAAAGGTATTTTGGGTTCCTGTACTTTAAATTAGAAGAACCAGCAGAAAGGGTGGTTGAATGAGCAGCCTTGAAATAATATTCCTTCATTGCTGCAGACTCAAGTTGTCGGAGAACAACACAATAAGAAGAGTTCAGCCACTTAAACTCATCAACATTTTCAACATGGATGGTAGCATTTCCAGGTGGGTTTAACAAGAACCACATGTTCATAGCTCCGAAGTTTAATTTATCAGTGACAAGATGAAACACATGTTTCTCAGGTTCCTGAAAGACAGCCATGTAGCATTTCCAATTAGCAGAATGTCTTATACAAGTACTAAATACAACACTCTCATCCATTCCCAGAGTTGAAATGCGTAGTAAGTCATTGTGTCTCATCTAGATAGCTAGGGGAGATCCACCAGAACAAATAAAAAGAACATATGATGCGATGTCCAAGTACAAGAAAGTTCCCAAATCCTTTTATTCCAAGTGTCATTTCCTTCTTAAATGGATAAAATAAATGGAAAATCCAAATTGTTATATTCCCAGGAGCAACTCCCTTGAATGCTGAGAATAAAATGGAAAATCCTCTCAAGCATTCAAAACTATGCATTTGGATGGTAACAAATGAATTTGACTTAACAATTGGATTTATTCACAAATTGACACATTACATGAATTATATAAAACCTTAATGCCTAAACAGGAATTTCGGTTCTACAAGGTGACGCAATTAAAATAATGTAATTCAAACAATGGATTTAGAAGAAGGCCACAAACCCCATACCTTAGCATTCATGACAGCTGAATGGACAACGACAGAAGCAGCCAAAACATTGTCAGAAAAGAGGGCATAATGGTAAAGGTCTGGGTTTTCAAGATTCTCGCTTTTAGGAAATTTCCTTTTTTCAAGAGGGAGGTGGTAATAATCAATAGTTAAGCGCATGGATAGGCAGTGGATCCCATTTGGAAGCATCTTGGCAGCTAATTGGCTCAAAAATGTGCTTTGCCTCTTCAAACTCCTGACTTGCTCATCTGCAGTTTGCAACATGCCTCTCAGCTTCTCAGTAACCAGTTTGCAGTCATATAGTTGTTCACGTGCTTTTGATAGCACTTGGTCCAGAGCTTTTATTTTTTCATGTGCACTGTTCAGCAAATGACCAATTAATTGCATGACACATGCACAAAGATATCTATCCTTTATGAATTTTATCAACTAACATCTATTACCTGTGGGGTAGATCAGAATCAGCACTTACATCCCCCAAGGCATGCTGAATTTCTTTAAATCGTAGTTCTAACTCATTTGCTAAGTCGAGCTTCTTCTTAGATGTTGCAATACTAATGTATACCCTTGCCATAATCATTTGATCTCTCATTAAGCGTACTGTTGAATCAGAATTCTCATTCTCAATTTCCTTCCTCCATATACTGTACTTCCCCAGAACAGAAGAGTCAACTGACTTAGAACGTTCCATGGCTGCATTTTCAAGCTTTACAGTCACTTCATCATCTCGTTTCACGAAACCAGCAACATGTTTTTCACGTCTTTTCTGCCTCAATTGCTGCAGGGTATGTAATAATAAACTAAAACTCAAATAATAAAAGTTAACAAAACAAAAGCAGGGATGGATTCAGTCGCTCAATCACACAAAAACATGCACATAAATACACAAGAAAAATTCATGTGCATACTAAAAGGGTTAACATTAGAAGTTAAGTTTCCTTCTCACTTCTTCACATCAAGAGTAACCTCATCATCAAAATAAGTTACTAAAGATATTACATAAATGACTGAGCATCAAGTAGATGGATGTGTCTACTTACCCTCCTGGCTAGTTTAGCAGGTGAATCCAGCAACTGAGAATGTTCATCTGTATTAGAATAAAGCATTGTCTAGTTCATATTAATTTATGCATGAAGCATTACAAAGACAATTAGAATGCAAAAATATATACCATCTAAAGAGACATCCTGCTTCCCTCTTGAGGTATTTTGTTTGAGATGGCTAGCTATTTTATTTGACTATTCAATCGAACATTAAAAATAATATTAATCAGCACATTTAGGAATTGCATTCATGGAAGCATTGAATATATGAAATCATAAAATCCAATCTTAATCCTGACCATCATCCCAACCTCCAAATAGGTGGAATTATTCTTAGCCAAGACTTCTTGTCTAACAAATCTCCATGAAGCCAATAAATTGTTCTTTTTGAAGGAATCAGGAATGACTTGCCCCAAATCCTCTGCACTGGTTTTGATTACATCAAACACCTGAAAATATGCATAATTATTGTGGTTGGAAAGTAAAGTTTCAGACAGTAAATAATTACCACAAATGAGGACCAAAGAATATGGTTGAACTAAAAAAATGAAACAAAGAATAGAGGAAAAGAATAAAAAATAAAAAACAAAAAACAAAAGAACATCATGCTGAATTCAAGAGCCTGTAGTTCATTGAAATGACTTATAAAAACAAAATAAGCATCACAATACCAGACACCTGATAAATACACAACAAAGAATTATACCTCTTTGCCTGAAAAGGTTGAAAATTGATGTTGATCTGCAGAAAGATATAAACAAAGTCAAGTTTTTGACCAATTATGCACTACTGCAATAGCGAATAACAGGAAAAATAAAAATAAAAACAAATTGCACAAAGTTTCCTAGCAGTTGGATGGATTGTCAAAAGTTCAAAACACTAGCTAAAGGCAAATCCACTTATCCACAGTATTACAAACTAAAACTCAACACACACTCATCTCAAAAGCACCGCTGATTTCCTATTTCACTTATCACTTAGCTAAAGACAAGTTCAACCTAGCAAACTAACCCTCCTACATCTTCACACGAGCACTAACGACCTGTTCCTTTCAGTCAACTCTTATATCCTAAACCACCTCCATCTAAAAACCATCAGAAAAGCACAAAGTTGGCGAATCACACATCACAAGACACGGGTTCCCATATAAATGTAACAAATGCAAAGACCAAATCCAATTCCTAAAATGGAATTATCAACAGTACCATAGTACAACATATGAATCTAAACACGAAACTATGTTGAGTACGCAGATCAGTATTGGATACTAACCAAGTTCAACAGAGGTATAGAGGCCGCGGCCAGCAAATAAAATCAAAGGAGCAACGCATGAACATAAGACAATGAACACAATGGGGAAGCGAGAGCCACCAACCCCGTTCATCTGGCTACGCACACCCGATAAGCCCCACTTCAATGCAATTAATTACCTGTTCACAATTATTGAAAATCAAAAGTGAAATCAGGAGATAGCTCAAATAAGGTTAGAACACTCCTGAAGATTCAAAAACATGTAAGATTATGCATACACGCGCCCACACACAACGAAAGAGACAGAGACTTACAGAGCGAATCTCTAGAGAGCTTTCCACCTATCAGAGGAATCTGTTCATTAACAGTAAATCTCAAAGAGGAAAATGCATGGATTAATACAGTTATCTGCACCAAATCGGGCCCCAGAAGGTGAGAGGGGTTGAGGACTTGAAGAAGATGAAATCTGGAGAATTTGGTCTCTTCCCTTTTTTTTTTTTTCAAAATTCTTTTTTCTTTACAGATTTATTTTCTTTCTTTTTTTTTTTCAGATTTATTTTCTGTTTTTCCTTTCTCTTTTAAATCTCTGAACTCTGGACGTTCCGCGCCAAACAAGGGTAAAACGACGTCGGAGGACCCCAGATGCTGAAACAGTGGAAAACAACCATCTTCTTTTGGGTGATTTGTTTCCCAAATTTTTAAGTGATTTTTAGACATTAGGACTTTTGTTTTTTATCATAATTTTTAAATAAAATTGATAATGTCACATGTACATAAATAGACAAACTTATACGGAGTATTTTATATTGATGGCACATGAATTACGTGTGGTCAAACGCGACAATAAAGGAAGGAATTAAAAACATATGTCATTAGAACGTTAGGATACAGTAAAAATGAATTAAGTGCTCTGGAGCGATTTTCTTTATTTCTTTCACTTGGTTTATTTTAGGAAGTTTTTCCGGCTCTTCTCTTTACTGTTGCGGCGGTCTACGACGGTTGGAGGGGATGTAGGCTCCGCCTGAACCCTTGGCACCTCCATCACCCGATCTGATGGTGGAGGGTGAGTCCTATCAACCTGCTTCTAAGAAGTTTTGCTCAACGAAATGCTCGTTTGCTGACATCATCGCCTCCCAAACCTCCCTTAACGATAGTAATCTGCTTCAACGGACAACTACTTAATGGGCTTTTATCAGTGGCGGAGCCACATATACAATGCAGGGGCCTTGGCCCCCACCCCTCCATTTTATTTTATATTAATATTATAAGGATTTTTTTTATATTAATATTATAAGGTTTTTTTTTTTGTTGCCAATTGGCCCCCCTTGTCCCATCCAAAAGGTTTTAGAATAGACTTAGGCCTTGTTTGGTTGAATGTAGTTTAGTTGTAATTGAATTATAATTCAATGAAGGCCTTAATTACAGTGTTTGGTTGGAGAGAATTGCAATGAAGACCTCAATTAAAATGTTTGGAAGGACATTGTAGTCTTTATACTACTTTTTCTTTCACATCCCCAATAATTCTATTCCTCCCTACCAAACAATGTAATTTGAATTCCTACATTATTCCTACCTTATTCTTTTCCCACCGAATTGCAATTCATTTACTTCCTAATTCCTTCCTCCCAACCAAACACCCCCTTAGTGTAAGCTTTGAAAAAAGTTCAGCTCCAATTCTCCAAAAGCTTCCAGAGTACTCTTTACTCCAAAATTCAGCATCATTCTCATCCAAAAAATTCAACCCCCCAACCCCACTCATAGTCTCATCCAAAAGCTTTAAAAATTTTCAGCTCCAACAAAAAGATCTTGTTTTTCTAACAATTATTGTGATTGGCCCCCCGCATTCCTAAATCCTGACTCCGCCCCTGGCTTTTATTGACCCCGAGATCCCATCAGACAAGGAGATAGACGACAGAGTGAAGGATGATGGTTATCCGCGTGTGAAACTGTCCAAAGAGCTTAGAATGGAACTCTGTCAACGTTGGAAGCTTGCCCTGATCATCAAATATCTCGGTAAGAACATCAACTTTAACGTTCTGAACCAGCATTTACCTAGCATGTGGGGATTGCGGGGACACCTTAATCTTATTGATTTAGGGTTTGGAAGCTTCATGACTCGGTTTGAAAATCGAACTTTTTATCTCCATGATCTTCTTGATGGCCCCTGGAAAATCTTCGATAACTACCTTGTAGTTGGCAGCCGGGGTTCGATCCAGTAGAGACCAAGTTCTCAAAGATGGCAGTTTGGGTGCAACTACCTAGGCTTCCAGTCAAGTTCTTTCGCGATGATATCATAAAATCCATTCTTGATAGTGTTGATGATGTTTGGCTTGATAAGGGAGATCTTGCCAACCTGTTCCAGTTTGGCAGTACTTCGTCCCAACCTATAGATACCTTGCCAAGCTCGTCACATGTGATGAACACCACGACGTCCCTTGTTCCACGCCCGGGGAAGGCGATTGCCAAACTTCCCCCCTCTTGATTGTTCCCGATGAAGATATCTCTTGGAACTGTATGGGCATTGTCAACGGACGGGTTATTAAGCATGTAAAAGAGCTTTTATCCTCATCCAAAGTCGATGCCCTTTGTCTCCTCGAGATTCGTTCCTCTAGAGCGGATATGATGATTAATATGTCTCGTAATATTGGGTATACTAACCACTTTATTGTTGAGCCTTGTGGTTTTGCAGGTGGTCTTCTGTTAATCTGGAAACAAGGTAATATTGACCTTGAAGTGATTGGCCATAACTCGCAAGCCATTCACACCATAATAAAACAAAGACCGGATGATTGTTTTGTCACTTTTGCTTATGTGTAACACCCCCGTATTCTAACACTAGAGCCAAGATAGATTAAAGGCTCAAGCAACGGAAATAACAAAACGAGCCTAAATCATATACTTAAGAAGCTTAAGCAGCGGAGTAAGCCAAAGGATTCTATCAAACTTAGGATTAAAAGTCTAGAATCCTTAACCAACAAACGGGGAAGGTTACCGCCACAACTACCCACTCCTGAGTAGTTGCTCCGGCTAAACTTACAACATATTAACCACAAGCTAAAACATAAGCACAAGTTCTAAGACCCAGATGCCATAGCATCACACAACCCACAGGGATCTAGGGAAATACTATAGAATCAACATCGCGCTACAAACCACTATTCCACACTCTTTTTAAATAAATTTTGGAATGCCTCCGCAGAGGTTTAATTGTGGGAAAATAATGTGAAAAGAGTGTGGAATAGTGGATTGTGTAAGACAAATATTAATTGAGGAATGATTAATCAATGATATGTAGTATATATCATTAATAAATTTTGAAAGAGTTAGAGAAAAGTAAAAAGTAGAATAGTAGTTTGAATTTATTAATTTGGAAATAATTTTGGATGAAGAGTTTGGGTGTGTGTAGGACAAGTATTAATTAAGGAATGATTAATCAATGACATGTAGTACATATCATTAATAAATTTTGGAAGAGTTAGAGAATAGTAAAAATAGAATAGTAGTTTGAATTTATTAATTCGGAAATAATTTTGGATGAAGAGTTTGGGTGTCTGTAGGAGTTGAAAATTAAATTTAAGGTGTAGGGATTTAAAAATGATAGTTGAAAGCATTTTTAATTTCAAAATTGCTAAAATTATTTAGTTTCAGCTCCACTTTAGTAATTTTCATAGTTATCATAGCCATAATTTATGGGATAAAGAGGAGTTGAATATCTGTAAGATTCTCGTATTTCATAATTTATTTATTTATGTGTGCATGTTGTTGATGAAATTCTGCTTCAAAATTTTTAATGTGTTTTGATTGAGAAACTAATTCGATTATTTCTTCAACAAAATTTTCTATTTTTTCTTCTTCGAAATCTATTTCAAATTGTTCTTTTAATTTGTCTAATATAAATTTTTTTTTGGAATGTGAACAATTTTAAATACTTTATAATTTGTTTTACCAAGTCTGGGTAGGGAAATCTCTTGAGTATATAATAAATGTTTTCGTTAAAATTTGGTATATTTATTGTATATCCAAGAAATTCTTTATCTTTAGATTTGTCATCTAAATAATATGTCGTAAATATGTTTCCAAAATTTCTTTTTACTTGAAAATTTTCATTGTTTCCAAAATAGTCTCGAATAAATTTTTTGTCCATGTTTTCAATGGACAATGTTAGGATTAGAAAAGAGGACATGAATAAACTAGTGATGAACTTCCTAGTCACTGAGGGTTATGTGGAAGTAGCAGAGAAATTCAAAAAGGAATCTGGGACAGAACGTATCATTATATCATCTTTACTTAGTTGATGTGTACATTAAGAATTTTGTTTTTCCTTATGAATAACCAGCTGACATAGATCTTGCAACCATTACTGACTGGATGGCTGTGAAAAAGGCAGTACAATGTGGTGATGTTGAGGATGCTATTGAAAAGGTCAATGATTTGAACCATGAGGTATGTCTTCCTTTCCTTTGTTGTTGTGGTCATTGAACCTTGTTGGAGCCGCATGCTTGATTAAATTGTTATTTTTTAGAGCTTCTTATATCTTCATGTACATGTGGGGAAATCTCTTATCATCTTTCCCAGCTTATTTTGTGGCTTATCTATTCCAAAAAGTATGTGGGTCAAATTCTAAAAATATTAAAAGACATTACGTTAGACAATAAGAAAAACCCTATTTTTCAAAAAGCAGCAACCTGGGAGCTGTTGCCACAAGGCTTCTTCACAAACTCATAATTCATGTTTTTTTTTTAATCAAGTTGATTCTTGTTTTATTCAATTTCATGTATTCTTTTACTCATCTTTCTGCCTTGTACTTGTTCACATTTGTACTCACCTTCCCATCTTTTTAAAATCCTCCATTGGTCTTTTAAGTTTATTTTGATAGTGAATTTGAAACCAGTCTATCTAATTGATATGTTTTCTGGTTCTCATTTTGTAAACAGCCTATATATGTTGTGGTTTACTGGTTTTAATATTTCCTTTTTTGTTTGTGTTAACAGAAGCCCCAACTTGTCAAAGGAAATATGCAACTATTCTCAGTGGACCAGCAACGTAGTCAAGCTCTTGAAGCCCATGCTGCATCATTTACCTCATTTCGAGTGAGAGAAGCTCCTTGCCACAAATCTTTTATTGACTTTGCTGCCATATTTTTTGTTATAATTGGTGTTTAATTTAAACAGATAGCAGGAAAATGATAAGGATTCTGTGCTCATTTCATTTGCAACAAAGACCTCATATGTAATTTCATTTATTATTTTTTACAAGTACCGTAGTAATTTGTATTGTTTTAAAGTGTGTTGATGGATAAATTGTATTGTGGAGTATGTTGATATGGATTTTAAGCTGTAATAGGTATAGGAATTATAAAAAAAAATAAAATAAAAAAAATTAGGGATTTTAATTAAAATAAATTAAAAAAAAAAGTCATCTGCGACCGTTTCTATTTCTAGCTTAAAACGGTCGCGGATGACTAATTAATAAAAAATAAAAAATAAAAAACGCGATGAAATGGTCGCGTTTTACCATTAATAAATAAATAAATAAATACAAGAGCAAGAAAGCGGATGCACGTTAGCGCAACGGCTTCTATTTATTTCACCAAGGAAGACGCGTAGCGTCACTTTACTCACGCACAACGGCTTCAACTAATTCATATAGAGTTTATTGACTTAAGCCATTGAATTCACAGCCATCTCTTCACGATACGCGACCGTTCTTTGTCAAGAATGGTCGCGTATTACTAACAATGCGCGACCATTTTGAAATGGTCGCGTAAAGTCGATGCCTTTCCGCGAGCCTCTCATAGGCAACCATTGTACAATGGTTGTACAATGGTTGCCTATTGTCTTTTACAATGGTAGCGTATCTGCAATTCTGTACAAGTGGGTTTAACCTCTTAGAACAAGTAGATGTTGATCCTCTAACTTCTGCTCTAATACCAAATATGTAGGGGAGATGCCTCCGCAGAGGTTTAATTGTGGAAAAATAATGTGAAAAGAGTGTGGAATAGTGGATTGTGTAAGACAAATATTAATTGGGAAATGATTAATCAATGACATGTAGTACATATCATTAATAAATTTTGGAAGAGTTGAAAAGTAAAAAGTAGAATAGTAGTTTGAATTTATTAAGTCGAAAATAATTTTGGATAAAGAGATTGGGTGTGTGTAGGACAAGTATTAATTAAGGAATGATTAATCAATGACATGTAGTACATATCATTAATAAATTTTGGAAGAGTTAGAGAATAGTAAAAATAGAATAGTAGTTTGAATTTATTAATTCGGAAATAATTTTGGATGAAGAGTTTGGGTGTGTGTAGGTGTTGAAAATTAAATTTAAGGTGTAGGGATTTAAAAATGATAGTTGAAAACATTTTTAATTTCAAAATTGCTATAATTATTCAGTTTCAGCTCCACTTTAGTAATTTTCATAATTATCAGAGTCATAATTTATGGGATAAAGAGGGGTTGAATATCTGTAAGATTCTCGTATTTCATAATTTATTTATTTATGTGTGCATGTTGTTGATGAAATTCTGCTTCAAAATTTTTAATGTGTTTTGATTGAGAAACTAATTCGATTATTTCTTCAACCAATTTTTCTTCTTCAAAATCTATTTCAAATTATTATTTTAATTTGTCTAATATAAATTTTTCTTGGAATGTGGAAAATTTTAAATACTTTATAATTTGTTTTACCAAGTCTGGGTAGAGAAATCTCTTGAGTAGATAATAAATTTTTGCGTTAAAACTGGTATATTTATTGTATATTCAAGAAATTCTTTATCTTTAGATTTTTCATCTAAATAATATGTCGTAAATATGTTTCCAAAATTTCTTTCTACTTGAAAATTTTCATTGTTTCCAAAATAGTCTCGAATAAATTTTGTGTCCATGTTTTCAACTTTTTCTAGAAATTGTATTTTCCACAGACGTTGTTTTGAGAATTTATATTTCAAAATTTTACTCTTTCAAGCAGTTTTTTAAGCTTTGCTCCTTCTTCTTCTCTTTACTACTGCCAGATATGATCTTTCTTCATCTTATCAGTTCATGTTAGTTTTTATGCTTAATATTTAATCATATTTTATCTAAAACCCTCACATTTTCACCCCTAACCTACTACAGGGGATTTTTCCGTTTACAATCCTAATAACATCTATGAACCTTATTTGGGTACTTTTTTCTCTTTCTGGTACTTCTTCCCCGAAGGTTTTCTAGACTACATGGATTGCTTCGACTCAAACAGGATCTACGTCTATTGGATAAAGATATACATATGATTAAAAATAAGAATAAAAAATAACACAAAGTAAGAAGATTAAGTTGTGATCATAGCTCTTAGTAGCAATTTGAAGAAGTTAGAGCAAAGGAATTTAGTGTGAGAATTTAGAGCGTATGAACAAAGGAGTTTTCATTAGGATGCATAAGGTAGTTGATTGTTGTGTGTGTCTACGGAGAGATCATCACACCTATTTATACAACAGATTGAAGGTTCTAGAATATACAGCTAACTACTATCTACAGGATAAAGATAAGAACGAATCTTATCTCATCAGCTACTTTGTACAAATGTTACATTTTTCACAGGCTGTAGTAAACATGAAGATAAGGACGAATCTTATCTTATCTTTTTACAACTCAGAGATAAATTGATTTTATCTCTTGGAAGGGACATGCCCCCATTCCTTAGCCATGAAGTCTTTAATTTTGTCTAAAAGTTGAGTCCCGTGTACAGTACGGGTACCAATTTTTCAAAATTAGTTGTCTTTTCAACTTTTCATCAATAACCTTTTTTTTCAAAATTACTGGTGTAGGAAATTTTCCTTGGTGGGTCTTGAATTTGTTTCCTTCATCATTCTTTTAGAGTGACAAATCTGATGAAGAATTTCTTGAATAGCGGCTTGCACTGAAATTTCTAAGTACTTCTTTGTGCTTCCTGTATGTTTGAACCAACCCTGGTCTTGAGTGTTCAACTTGAAATGGGAAGAAAAACTTGGATGCTATTGAAGATTCACAATAGATTTTTCCTTGTTCATCTTCTCTTAAAATGTTCATTGTAGCAAACTTTGTGCTGGTTCATCCAAAATCATTTGCCAGAATTGCCAGAACAATTTCCAATTGTCTTTCCATAGGATCTTCAATTTTAATTGTTTTAATTTCAGAATTTTCCTTACAAAATTCTTGATATTCATCATCAATGTCTTGGAAGAAGATTTCCAGTAAATGATATGCTGGAATTTTTCTTTCAAAATCTGGATAGAGGGAATTGAATTTTATCAAAAAAAAAATAAAAAAAATCTCACTTCTGGAAATTATGGTTTCAAATGTATCAGATAAAAGTGAGACAAAAAATGGTGAATAATCTGGAAGTGGAGGAGAATTATAGAGTTTACCAACCCATGCTTGATAAGTGATGGAATTGTGACTGGGTAATATCTAAACTTGAAAGGTTTTTAAAATTTGGGATTAACAGTTTTGCCATTCTAATGGTAGAATCTAATTTACATAAACATTCTCCCTCTTGGTTTTCATGACAATTTGGGTATTGGCTTTGACAAATTTTGAAGATATCATAAGAAAATTCCCAAGTGGTGGAAATTGTTGGAAAATTAAAAGACGAAGTATGAATATTTGTGTGGATAGTGTTGACAGCGCATATTGCTCTCTTGATATGGGTAGCGCCTTTGGTGCTAAATTGTGCTCTATATTCTTCCTTCTTCCTTTCCATTTTTGTGATTGGGGTGGAGGGGGCTGCTTACTATAAATAGCAGCTCCCAACATCGTTTTATAACACACCTCACTTCAAGTCACTTATTCTATTCTCCTTCTCTCTCCCTTAGTCTGAGCAATACTGAGGTTCGCCTACGTGATTGCTAGTGCAAGCTATCCGTAGTAGGTCTGTGTAGCCTGTCGAAAGCATGTCTGGGTTCTAACCGGGCAAATAACGCTTTTAGGGTAGTGTTATTATAACACGGCACAGATTTCCTTTCAACCATACACCATAGGGTCCGTGCTTCTTAAAAGGCTTTCAGATCGCGCGTTGAAGTTGCGATTATTTCCCAACAGTTAAAAGCGTTATTTTGCAACAGTCAACCTTTAGCGTTATGGCACCTTCTGTCATACCTGATCTATCAAAAATCACCGCGCTTGATGGAAAAAATTACAGTAGGTGGGCTCAAAGAATGCATATCCTCTTTGAACAATTAAAGTTGGTTTACGTGCTATATTCAGTTGCACCTGAACCTACTCCAATAGTGTTCTCTCCTTTTGGCGCTACAAAAGCTAACCATGAACCTAATTACACTCCGGGTGAAGATTCGAGAGAAAGCAGTCCTGAAATAGATTACATTCCGGGTCAAGAACCGGGTGTAACTCTGTTACAGTTTAGAAATGACAATGCATCAGCCAGAGGATACCTTTTGTCACAAATGAATGACGATTTGTTCGACATCTATGTCAAACAAGACTTGGCAAAAGTCATTTGGGAATCACTGTCAGAAAAGTACGGTGCCAATGAAATTGAAAATCAATGTGTCAGAACCGTCTACAACAAAAGGAGTAGAAAAGTCAAGAAGTTCAAATGAAGGTGTTTTGCGTGCGGAAAGCAAGGACACCGAGCATACCAGTGCTACAATCACAAGGGCAAAACTAGCAAAAGTCAATCTTACAGAGCAAGATGAGTATTGAGTCTCTTTAAATAAGTAGTTATTTTGAGTAACTATATTTGCTCTAGTTCTAAGGGCTCGCATGAAGTATGATTGTCTTAGTACTGAATTCCAGTTGAGTTGTCTAGATTTTGATTACTTAGTAGTACTTATTTCTTTAGTATGTTGAATACTAATGACATTGATTGAAATAATTTGTGCATAAATATTGCTCAAATTTTTTACTAAAATTATTTGTATAAAAAATAAGAGCATATATCATAGGCTTCAATTGTAATTTAATGAGAACATGGAAAAGTCATCATTCTTGAACACTCTGTCTAGGAAGATGGTTTTTAAGTAAACTTCAGTTTCACCACTCGACCTGGGAGTACTTAAGAAGTAGGGCATTGATCATGCAGACTAGTTAGAGCGCCACTTAATCTTCACCTGAAATGAGGTTGATGAACAATCGTAATACGCATTCAATCAGGAAAGAGATTACACAAGAGAGTCCTATAGTAAAGCTACCACTAAAGGCTCCTGTAC